AGATTAAGATACAAGTTGAAGCAGCGAAAAGTATTAAGTAATGCTGAACGCCAAAAACGATTTCGTTCTAAAAAATGAGCATTCAGTAATAGATCATCTCAAATTAGCTTTCATCAACCACCAACTAGTGCTAACCGTTAAAGACTTTACAAAGCAAATAAGAAATCACGACTAAAAATACAGAAACTCAAGAAGAAGAGTTTACACAAACCCAACAAGAGCAATATGTACAACCTCTCGTTGAAGAATATTAACGGCCATTTGCACCGGTGAACCTAATCGCCAGAGCCTAAATACTGAAGGTATAAAACCCGTGTTTGAGCATTTACTTATAGGCAACGACCATACCACGTTGAATAATACCGGTTCTCGTCCGACCGGAATTCGAGCAGTGTCGCTGAGCTTAACGCGTTTGCAGGTCTTGCAGAGGAGAAATCAGAAAGATTCAGGCAAATCTGCAGCCTCTTCAAAAAGCATCCGAACTGTGCGCGTTGTTCAGTGCTTTCGGCGGAGCTAGGTGCAGCATACACCACCAACAAACCCCCTAGGTGGTCACTGGTGGTAAATCACATGAATAGTGACCATCCCAGCGCTACGCGACGAAGAACCGTACAAGCCCAAGTCGGTACCGTACCGATTCAAAAGCGCAAATTTGAAGCGGTAAGCCCAAAAAAGCCCGCAAACTTGAACAAAAAATCCAAGCAGCCAACGGAAACACAACTGGCTGAACAAGAGCCAGCCGTGAATGGTTCAACCATAGCCATGGTCCTATCACCAGCGCCGACTGTGGACCTTCCAGGCGACAATTGCGAACCTTTCAAAGTGCCGAGGAAGACAATATCGTGGAACAGTATCATGACCACCGCCGAGCCACCAACCGCTTTAGCAAACAGGTATTCTCCAATTCAGCCACCCCCTGTTGCTGATTCTGAACCCGCAGCTCCCGAGGAGCAGTCGGAATGTCATCAACATCTGGCTGCAAAAGTGGCATCTCCGCCTTCCCAAAAACCTAAGAAAAAGGACGACAAGCCGCCTCCTCTTGTAATTGCGGGAAAAGCTAGTAGCCACACTGCCTTGGTTAAAGGGCTTGAATCAATCACCAGTAAACCCTTTAGTCTGAAGTATACAAAATCGTCTTTAATTGTATACTGCAGCTGCATACTCGACTGGGCGGCGGTAAAAAGATCACTGGAAGCGGATAGCAGCCAATTCCACACGTATGCTCCCGCTGGCGAAAAAACGCACGTTTTTGTTCTCAGGGGGTTGGAGGGAAACGTTCAGCCGCAAGATATAAAAGAAGACCTCATTGAAAAAAGCATTGACACCAAAAATGTGTTCTCAATGAAAACCCAATTTAGGCCTCTTTTCTTAGTTGTGACCAATGATAAAGTCACAATAAGAACATTGAAAGCTGAAGCAAGGGTGGTCTGCAGTGTGAGAGTGTCCTGGGAGACCAGGAACAACAGGAAATCCCTTACACAGTGCCGTCGCTGTCAGGGCTGGGGCCATGTTTCTGCAAATTGCTTCAGGAACTATAAGTGCTCCCGCTGCGCCGAAGCGCACGAAATCACGGCATGCCCACCCGG